TATTGAGCTGCTCTGACGTCACATCATGACGTCTCGAAGACTCGCGTCTCGGTAAATATTCCCCGATATTCACTTAATTGTTGAATAAACCAGATTTCAGCATAAATATTATGACAGTTCTTACTTTTTTCACATCGTTGTCCGGTTCTTCCTGGTGGACATATGCAATACCATAGATAGTTTTTGGCTCCTACTGCGCATGTGCTACCATACAAGCAAAGGTTGTCTTGGCAACCAGTGGTTTCTGTAGGAGTAAATAGTAAACAGTAAATGTGTAAATAATCGTATTTCTTCTAGAGGTTATGGGTGAATGAAGAAATAACACTCAAGGGAATTACAAGTGGTCTGAGATGGAAAACATTACTGATGAACAAAGATAGAAAGAGATAATACTCAAGGGAATGACATGTGATCTGAGATAGGAAACCATTACTGATGAACAAAGATAGAAAGAGATAATACTCAAGGGAATGACATGTGGTCTGAGATGGGAAAACATTACTGATGAAGAAAGAAATAATACTCAAGGGAATGACATGTGGTCTGAGATGGAAAACATTACTGATGAAGAAAAATAATACTCAAGGGAATGACATGTGGTATGCGATGGGAAAACGTGACTGATGAAGAAAGAAATAATACTCAAGGGAATGACATGTGGTATGAGATGAAAAAACATTACTGATGAAGAAAGAAATAATACTCAAGGAAATGACATGTGGTATGAGATGGGAAAACATGACTGATGAAGAAAGAAATAATACTCAAGGGAATGACATGTGGTCTAAGATGGAAAAAATTACAAATGAAAAAAAAAACTCAAGGGAATGGCGTGTGGTATGAGTTGGGAAAACATTACTGATGAAGAACAAAATAATACTCAAGGAAATGAATATGTGGTTGTTTCAAACGCTTACTTCTGTCACATTGTTTTCCATTATACCCAGGACTGCATTTACAGTATAGAGTGTTGGTATTGTGAACTGGACTACAAACACCATTAATGCATGTACTGCTGTCACAACGGGTGTATGCTGAAGAAAGAAAGAAACTAAGGAAGAAAATACTTAACAGACGATGAACTTTGCATTTGGATGCAATATTTTCTGAATTCCTCCGACTTTACCTCTCAATAGTCCCCTTCATAGTTCCCTGTGCCATCTTGAAAGGTAGCCGTGCCTTTGCATGGAAGCGAGACGAACGGTGAGCTGGCAATGATAGAGACATGTGAATAATTGCACAAGGTGTTAAAAAAGGTCTCGCTTCCATGCAAAGGCACGGCTACCTTTCAAGATGGCGCAGGGAACTGTTAAGGGGACTTTAAGGAAGGAACGAGTATATAAAAGGTATTGATAATTAATTTTATTAAAAATATATTTCCATGACCTGAAAGAGCGCATCAAAATTGACAGGTTTCAGCAGTATGGCTTCGATTGGCTTAGTAACAGCTAAATCATAAGCAATCAAAAACATCAAAGACTACAAAGAAATGTATGTTTGGTAGGGACAAGCGTCCCCAGTAACCATACATTTCTTTGTCATTTTTGAGATGTTTGTGAGGTTGCTACACAAAAAATATAAATCCCAAAATCTTGAAACTCCAGGAGTTTATTGACTTCGATGTACTCTTTCTTGTTATGGTGTTTATTCTTTAACTAGGCTAATTCTAAAAACTCGTTACGTCCTCAACTCGTTTCTAAAGCGGACAATAGATATACAAATCGGATTTTTAGATCACCATAAACAATATACGAATATGTATTTTCGATTTCATTGATTTTGATTGACGTCACAGACTCCAAAAAATAACCATAAAAATATCATACTTTCGTCCTGAATTTCGAGAAACACTTCATACAGTGATTATTGAACCTTTAAAGAGTATTCTTAGGAAGTTTCAGCTGAATCCAAGTTTGAGCGATTTTCGTCAGAGTAGCACTTTAATTTTACGATAATAATAAGAGTTTTACAATCAACCCATAAATGAGCCTGAAGCGAGATGACGTTTTACTCCCGACTCTATACCATAATAGTTTTTAAAATTCTTTCATATTAAAATTTTTGATTCCTTAGAGAATACAGGAACAATAGTCATAATTAAAGAACAAAAGCAGCATGAAAAAGATTATGGTCTAGAGACGGGGGTAAAACAATATCTCGCTTCAGGCCTATTGACTATAGCCACTAAAAATGTAGAAATATCTGTGTTATTATTTTCAACTACCAGTGGCCTCCCTGCGTCGGCAATTTCTTGTACGGATCCCAGATTTGAGTCAAAATTGATACTTACGTGTGGTAGGTGTCACTGGTGTTACTGAGGGGGAGGGGGAGACGGTTGTTGATGTAGTTGTAATTCCTACGATTAAGAAGACTGGTTAATATCAGAAGTGGAAATAAAGCGACTTATTAATAATTGGTCTAACTTATCTTTCAAGAAAAAACTTTTTCTTCTGTTGCACGGCTCCGAAGAGCTTGCTGCGTCTGATAACCAAATTCTATTTTTTGTTGTGCAACTATATGTACTAGACTCTAAAAGTTTTTCTCATGACCTTATTTAATTTAACTTCATCATTTTCTGTTTTGCTAATGTATTTGTAATTATTACTGTTCTTTTTTCGATGAGTTGTTTCTCTTAGGGTTAATATGTATAATCAAATGTCTTTAAATGAAAAAAAAATCTATCGACATCAATATTAACATCACTACCATCATCGATGTTATTTCATTCGTTTACAAATTTATATCGATATAATCATTGTCATAATCATCATCACCGTCACTATCATCCATCATCCTCACTCACCTTCATAAAAAGATTTATAAGACTCATTTGGCTAAGTTCTCTGCGCCATCTTGAAAGGTAGCCGTGCCTTTGCATCGAATCGAGACGAACGGTAAGCTTGCAATGATAGAGACCTTTTTTAACACCTTGGAGAATTATTCACATGTCTCTATCATTGCAAGCTCACCGTTCGTCTCGCTTCGATGCAAAGGCACGGCTACCTTTCAAGATGGCGCTTGGAACTGCTAAGGGGACTATTGAAACCCAGCAATTACAACCAAAGTAAATATTCCAGTAGTTTAACATCTTTCACACTAGATAAAATGAACAAGTATACGTACACACAAACGCAAAAAACCTACTTTGTTCGCAATCATAGCCGGTAAATCCCTTTGGACAAACACAATAGTAGGGGTGTCCTGATTGGTAGCGGTGACATGTTCCTCCATTCTTACACGGATAAGAAGAGCAAGGGTTAGAGCTAGCTGCAAAAAGGAAAACAGACAAGAAATAATCAATATAATAATAGCAATAACTACGATAGTGTTGGTGGCCAATAATATTGATTATCATCAATATCATCCTCGTCATCGTCATCACTGATATTCTTACCATCATCATCATCATCTTCGTCATCGTCATCACTGATATACTTACGGTATTCGCAATCTTTCCCAGTGTAATATGGTGGACAGTCACATCTGTATCCATTTGGTAATCTAACACATGTTCCACCGTTACGACAACCAGGTTGAGCCACATCACAGTAATGCGCTAAAAATGAACAAGTATGTCCTGTATTAGATTTGCATTATGTCACCATTTTTCCAGAATGTTTAAACCAAATTAGAATTATGTTTATGAATAGCATGGGTGGCGTACGTCGTTAAGGCGTTGTCTTTCACCACTGTGGTTTCAAAGGTTCGAGCCCTGCAGACATATTTGAATTGAGGTTGTTTGATGTGTTGTTCTCTCCCTTGCCACGAGGGTTTTCTCCGGGTTCTCTGGTTTTCCTCCCTCCATAAAAATCAACATGTGAGTTGAGTTTGTTTGATGTGTTGTTCTCTCTCTTGCCACGAGGGTTTTTCTCCAGGTTCTCTGGTTTTCCTCCCTCCGTAAAAATCAACATGTGAGCTAAGCGTTGTGTCCATAGAACATTGAATGTAGTGGTAGTGTCTGTGAGTGAAAAGTGTCCCCAATTAGTGCAGAAGCGCTAGACACTTGAATGAAGAGATCTGTATATTTATTAACACTTTTAAATGTATCTGAATAGTGGCTATACTACCTTCACAGTATTTCCCTGTGTACGGCCATGGACAGCCACAGTATGAACTTCCAGGATAACAGCTTCCACCGTTAAGACAGCTACACGCTGAATAATGAAAATAAAGCCATGCGAATCAGAATCATTGAAATCAATGTTGAAGAGATAGAAAACGAGCGCGCGTGCTATGCTGAGTTATACAAGCACGCGGGAAATTGCGTGAGTCCGAGAAAAGTGCTAGGAGAGGCACGAGCAGTAGGCTTTTCGGTACTTCTCGAGGGCTCACGCAATTTCTCAAGTGCTCGTATAACTTAACATAGCACAAGCAAGGGGAGTTTTCTTTCTTTTTTATAAAATAACTAAGATATAACTAACGATTAACTCAAAAGAAATAAAAAAAAAACATAAGAAACAAACAAAACGTCGCTTGCGTTGCTGACGTCATTTCCTCACGATTTATATTGAGTTATATAAAACGGTAATTGACCAATCAGAGCGCGCGTTGTATCTTATATTATTATTTTTTATAAATGTGGTGTAAAACATGGTACGCAAGGCAGGGGGACTTGGGATATAATATGCAGCTACTTCAAAAAGAGGATGGTTAAACATTTGGTGCATGCTGCATACCAAACCCGAAATGCACTATTGGTGATGTTAATATAACCCGTCGAAATATCAACAACGATATGGAACTTTGTCTGCGAGTTTTTGAAGGGGTAATGCATTGGGCTAACCTAAGATATTAATATGGATATAATACATTTGAACTGACTAAGCAGCATGCAACAAGCATTAGGCAGCACGCAACAAAATCCTCACCAGCGCTTTTTGAATGAGTTGTATATTTTAGATATCCTACCGGTTGGAGCAACTGTGGTTACAAAAGACGTTAGTCCTATACTTGATGATGGAGTACTGGTAAAGTAGTCGATTATTGTTGTTCGTGGAATTGGGAAGCTACTTGATGGGACTAAAAAGGAAAGAGAGAGAAATGTTACAAAGAGAAGAGAGGAGAGGAAAGGAGAGTAGAGGAAAGGAGAGTAGAGGAGAGGTTTGAAATAGCTTTATTGGCATGACCTACAATTTACAGGTATTGCTAAAGCATTGAACATTAACATGAGTTTTTTTGTTATATTTTACAACCACATTGTACTAAGAAAAATATCTATATATCTATATTGATATGTAAAATAACATATTTAAAAATATAGGTATAAGTATTACAAATATACTAAATTATAAAATCTTAATTGAGAGGAGTGGAGAGGAGAGGAGAGGAGAGGAGTGGAGAGGAGAAGAGAAGAGAAGAGAAGAGAAGAGAAGAGGTAAAAAGATGCTAGATATACATGTTGGAGACTTGAGACGTGGATGATGTTCTTGTAAAGAGGTCAACATGAGATGATGTCACTAA